ACGGTGCAGATGTGGCTGAGGGGCAGCAGAGCCACCAGATGATGTTCAACGACCCCGTCACACTTTTAGAACTGAAACTGAGCCATGGGCTTGTACCATCTTTGGGAGTGGAGCTCCTAAAGAAAAAGGTGTGTCAAACCTGCAGGAAACAACTCCAAAGCAGTGCTTTGTTGTCTCCCCAACTTAGTGGATGCTAAGTGTCAGCATTGGCCTTCGCTTTTGGACGCATCTTTAACAAGATGTTGCAGTTAGAGGTCAAACCATCCCCAACAACTAATCTGCAAGTGTCTTTAAAATACTTTTTTAAAGGTTTGGGGTTTTTTTTAGACTTCAGTTTTAAGTCTTTAAAATACCTATTTAAAGGTTGCAGCAAAATCCAGACTATTAAATACTTTAAAAGGCAGTTTGTGCAGGCAAGTCCATGTCACAAGTTTGAGTCCTACGGAAGGAGGATCGGCTCTGTAACCTCTAAGCAAGTTTCATCTTGCTGCAGGGCTCGAGCCCTGTGCAAACAGGGCTGAAACGCCGAGAGGATGGTTTTGATCTTAAGAGCTACCCACAAAAAATAAATAAGCTGCTGCAGGCAGGGGTGGTGTTGCTTTAAGTTAAAGCTGGTTGGAAACCCAAGTCAGGGTTTATTCCTCAGCGTTTGGGAACAAATGGAAGGGAGGGACGTTTGTCTTGCACTAGGAATAAGTCATCTATTAAAGTACACAAGGAGACGCCCTTGCTGGCCTCAAGTGTTCCAAGATTATCTTGTTTCCACTCTCATCAAAAGTTCAGTGAGATTCTCCCATGGTAGAAACTGGTAAGAAGAAAACAGTGACAGTGACACAGTGCTCTTAAAGCTCACCATGCGTCTGTGCTTCAGTAAGTTTTATTAATAAGACCTAACGCATCACAAGCTGACCAGGATGTTCTGGTCAGTTTTACTAATCACACTGAAGCTTTCCTTCTCCTGAAGTAAAGCTGCAGCAGTTAAACGCTCGTCCAGGAGGCAAAGCTGCCCCCAGCACCCAACTGACTGCACTACAGAGTACAGGGCTTCGAGGCAGCTCAGCTTGTCCATTTAAATGCATCTGAGCTGAGAACCGGTTTACTTAGTGAACCAGCTCTGGCCTGTAGCACATTAGGACTGTTTCACAGGGAGTCTAGTCTAAGGCACCAAGTCTAAGCTGAGGCATTCGAGATCACTACATGGTATAAACTAGAACATCAGACCTTGTCAGCTAAAAGATCAGTTGCAGCAGTTCCATGACATTACAACAAACACCTGGAATAATTTCAGAACAAAGACTGAAGCAGATGTTACATCCTTGGTTTCCCTTGTGGCTTGTAAAGGGCAGCCTGCAGAGGAGCAGCTTCCTCCACAGAAGATACTTTCACAACGTTTGCACTTCATGATGCATTATCTAGTTATGCATTTTATTACAAGTAGAATCATTACACAACAAAGTAATGCATATTGGAAAAATACATTTTTACACTTACTCCAGACAAACATTGCAGATAAAATGTTCTAAGACTTCCTTTTCTATTTCACAAGAGGGTATTAGAAGGTTCCAAGTTATTTTTTGTCACTCATATAAGCTTTGATTTTCCTGGAGATGAGTTTGCTGCGGTACCCAACCCTGTTTGTTATAGGAAAAAGAGGACTTGCCTATTAACATTTGATCTACAATTAAAAAAAATATAAAAAAAATCCAGCCTTGGCCTCCCATGTTGTTACATGTTAATTTACAAGCACTAGGTGAGAAGTTGTACAAGCCGTTATCTCCAGCACAGGAAGGCATTAAGGCATCTGTCAGCTTTCAGCCAGCACCTCGCTCTGCTCCCTTACTACCTTCAACATGCAACCTCCTCACTGCACTCAGTGGTGTGAAACAGTGACTATACTTTTTTTTTTTTCCCAGATAATGCAAATTAAAACTTAAGCCAGACCACATTTTGTGCTTGCCTAGGAGGGCCTGCTGACTGCAATCTAAAGGAATCCAGTCTCAAAAAGCTACAGCATGAACCACTACAGACTTCCCACGCAGCCCTGCTGAAGCCCAGTTTTACAGCAGCGCTTCCCAGGGACAGAAGTTTGTGTCCCATTTACCCTTTTGTTCAGTGCTTGGCAGATGTGAGTCTCAAGTTAACAGATACCACTTCAAGAGCAGGGGCAAGAGGGGTGAGGTTTTTGGTCACCACTGTAGTTGCTACAAAAGAGAGTTTAAGGAGTTAGAAATGTGTTGACCGCTACCATGTTACCAAGTGCCTCCATTCACAGTTGTACCCCGCAGTGGAGCATTGCCAGAGAAACTTCAAAAAAAAAAAAAAAAAAAAATCTCAGAAGTCTGAGGGTTCAGACCAAATCCAGGCAGACTGCATAAAGGATTGAGCCTCACCAGCTGTCTGGCAGGGTCAACCTCTTGAGCTGAACTACAAGAGAACTAACTTGGGTTTTGGTTCAGGTTGTGAGCTTTTCCCCTTGAACTCTGGCAGAAAGCTGTGTAGAGTTGGTTGGAAGGAAACTCTCTCAAAGGCACTTTAAAGTGATCAAATTTGCTGAACTTAATCGCTTTAAATTTAATGAACACTTCAGGCCATACATTAGTTATTAATAACCTTAACTTTCCTCTCAGACTTCAGTAAAAAAAGCCGTCAATAGCGAACTAGGAGCATCACATACGGTTTCCCAGAGTTTCAGGCAGTTGTAATTAACATCCTACTTTTAAAAAGAGCAACTAACCAGCCTTAAACTTGCCATTCAGTTAAGCTGAATTTCCACAAGATGGACATTTTGTATCATTTGAAAGGTGGCTTATTCTGTTAGAACCACGCTCCCTGTTCCCTTGCCCCTCCTGTCAGATAAATCACTGAGAAGAGTGACGTCTGAACGCTCAAGCAATTACACATCGTGCAGTTTTCCAATTAAGTTGAAGTCCGTAGGCTGTGGCCCTAGAAGAGCACTCCTATACCGCGACCTTCCAGTATTCGGAGCACACAGCACTGCAGCTCCAAACCAAGGAGAAAGTCAACATATTATCACAGGACACACTATAGTCAAGACCCCTCTCGCCAGAGGCCCTCTGGCTCCATCACTGTTATCTTTCACTCCTAGAGACTTGCAACTAGTGACATTCTGAAACGTCAGAAAGCAATGGACTAGAAGTACAACGTTTTCCATTATCTATTTCACTCAGAAAACCCAAACCGTTGCAGTTAAATGCTGCAGACACCATTCTATTTCCATGTCGTTCACCTAGAATATTACGCCAGAGATGCACCGTGTGTATTCGTAACTGTGTTACAGTCACCTGTGTCACCCACCCAGGGCATTCTGTTGGAAAACGACACCAGCAGACGGAGCAGCGAGGCAAACATGTATTATCGTCCAATTTTCTTCTCTAGTGTTACAGGGGTGCGATTCCAGTTATAATATATGCATATTGGAAGGTCAAAGTGCAGATCAAGTGAGACTTGATGTGAAATTCACCGTGCAAATGTCAGCAATTACACCCTCTCCCATCCTTCTCTTGTCCCAAGTTTGTGAACAACCTCGAGCAAGTCTCTCATGTAAGCAGCAGTCTGGTTTATCACCTCATCTTACCCTTTAAGACTGACAAGTCGCTCTTCCAAGCAAGGCAATGTGTTACCAACTCATCCACATTGTACCCTGGATATAACAGTCATTAAGTAAATGCACACCAGTTCATGGAGCAGAGATGAGAAACGCCAAGTCTAAACTTGGTTTATCTCTTGGGGCGAGAACAGTCCTAACACAGCATCTAGTTTTGCTTAAGTACACATTTTTTCTGACTGAAGCCCTTGCCCACCAAATTATAACCTCATCCATCAGCAAAGTACTTTCCTGTTTCCCCAGACAACCTGGTGTTGGACTTGTACAGATCCAGCATGTTTAAGAGAGCACGACCAGCTTAATCCAACTGCCTGGCACTGCCCTGCCAGTTCAGAACCCTTCCTTCAAGGCCGGAGGCTTAGTATTAACAGGAAACCTCCAAACACACTCTCACTCACCAGCAATACCAATTTAATGCTTAGAGGTGCAGCACATTCTACAAGGGAAGGGTCACAGACTCCTGCAGCAGTTACCCAGGGTCCCTACACCGAAGGAAAGTGCTACTCTCCCTTAAGGGATTCATAATGCACTTCAGCATTTATTGCTGTATTGCGAGTTAAACTACTTCACCAGTTTTAGTGTTTCTCCATTTAGCACACGCTTCAGCCTTTCAGCACGCTTGTGTTCATTCATACAGGTTTCATGAATTGGAAGGACTAGCAACATAAATATGAAAGAGCAAAGTAGACTTTGACAGCTCTAGCAGGTACGAGCAAGAATATTTACTGGCGAAGACAATCTTGCACTTCTCTTGAACATGCTAAAGCTAATGAGATATTTACCAGGGAGGTATCAAGATGTGGATCTGCAATTCTGACTGCTTTGCATCACACACTGTAAAGCTTTCTGTTGTAAGGCCACGATTCTTGAGCTATGCTTCAGCTACTCCCATTTCTGAGGGGTTTCATGAACAGTGGTTGCAACAGCTCAGTCTAGCTTCACAAAAAGTCTTCTTTAGAGAAAGGGAATATTTATCTTTAAGGAAAAGCAAAGAAAAATACCTGGTTACCCTGAAACTTAATGCCATCTCTACTAAGCAGCCTGAAAGCCACAGGACTTAATAGAGTTACTCAGTGCAAAGCACCATGTCAAGGACAGACCTGTTCTAAGTCAATTCAAACACCAGCCTAACAATCTTCACTTCCGCACCCCGCTGCAACTAGAAGAGGGTCTAAGGTCTTTTGTCACTTGGTTTCAACAATCCATTCGAACTCCTAGTGAAGTCTATCACAGCCCAATACATTTACAGTCATATAAAGTCATTTTATACCAGAATATATCGCAACAAGGTCCTTAATTAGTTCAGTCTATTGCAGATGCCATGTATAGGCCTCCTCTTCCCTATCCAGAGGGCTTGTAAGCAGAGCTGCTGTCAGGAGCGCCGACGGGGAATCCCTTTACTTCGGCAGCATACTAGGAGACTCCTCCCAGAGTCAGGACATCAAAGCAGATGTTGCAAACTCGGACTGGCTTGTTCAGGTCAAATTTTATGATAGGAATCTCCTTTGTTGAGCACTTATGGCAGAGCAGGCGTCCACAGTGTCGGCTGTCGACAGAAGAGGAGTGGGAGAAAAGTGAATCAACTCATCCTGCACGCCAGGGCTTTACTATTTGATAATAGCATCACTAAGAAGGCACAGTAGCGATGGAAATGCTACATTCTTTTTGTATCTTCCAATCTCCCCAGTAATAATTGAGTACTAATGCCAGAAACATATGCTGCTTCTATACCAGTCAGTCACCCAGTATGACTTCACTAACGCACGTGCTGTTTCTCTGGAACACTGGGCTAAGAGAAAAATGTTAGCTTAACATCCATCCACCTCAGCACATGTTGTAGGAGTTCAGACTAGTTGAGAAAAGGCAACTCGCATTTTACACGAGCAACTCATGTCAGCATCTTCAGCCATTCCCACATTACAGGCAGCACCCCTGAACCTAAGGTGGCAGTGGCTGCCCAAACCTGTCCCTCGGTCCAGAGCAAGCCAGCCCCACTACCGAAGGCACGCAAATAAATTATGTTTCACTGCTGGAACTTTGACATGATTTCCCATTTCCAGCAAGCCAGACTATTAAGTGCACAAACCGCTAAGACAATTTTAAATTAGACCACAAGTTCCTGATCTAGGATGGGGTGGAATGTTTCACTTGGGTTACCGGTTAGACACCTACATGAACGCAGAGGTTGCCTAAACCACTAGAAAGAACAAGCCTAGCTACGTTTGGAAGAGGAATCCATTGCCTTGCAAGCACAGCAAGATGTGTCACATTACCAGTGATGCTTCCGTGTCGTGACTCCAAATTTGGCAGTGCACTCATAGCAGTTGGAGCCATCACACCAGGGAGGTTCTTTTGTCAGCATATCTGTTCGAGGCAAAAACGTCAAGGCAAAACGGGCTCAGACACCTCGAGTACTCTGTAACATTAAGGAGGCTTTTTCCAGTTTTAGGCTGCATCCAGTGCAATCGATTTAACAACTTCTGCACTAGCTGCAGTGTTGTTTGTAGACAATGCGCGGCTGCTTTTGCCAACATCACGTTATCCACAGCGACTAAACAGTACAAGTCGAAAAGCAGTATCTAGGTTTTAAGCTACATTAGACTATGATGCCAGTCAGGAGTCTCCAGGTCCATCCTTCCAGAAAGAGCAGTATTAAAGTTTGACAGGTCTGCATTGCGCAACTTTCTGGCTGATCATGAGAAAAATTAATATTTCTATCCCTCCACTTAAAGTAGCAGAATATTCAGAGTTCAGCCCCTCTGGAATTACTGTCATTTAAGTCAGACATGCAGAGTTTTTTCCTCCATGAAAGCATTTCAAGCACAAACCAAAAACCTGTTCCAACTGCACCAAGCACTACTTACCCAGCAGTCTAAAGAGAAGCTGTTTCGTAGCAACTTGGTAGTTGAAGATATTGACTCCTTGATTATTGTTAACTCCAAGACGAGCCCCAGCTCTCACTATTGCACGACACAAGTTAGCATTTCCCTTCATGTACGCCAAAAGGAGCACTGAAAAATAAGAGCCAGATATCTCCCTGCTAAGAGTGTGGTAGGTCTTGTGTTACACTCAGTCCAGAGTAAGATCTTACGTTTGTCTGACATTCTGTCAATCACTCCCATGTCAAAGTGACAGAACATCAATATGAGACTTGAGGGACTGAAGGGCTGCTGAATCCCACCTACCTGTGTTTCCTTCAGCGTCAGGTTTGTCTAGAGGGTATTCTGGCATACACTCCAAGAAGAGGTCGCAGATGGCTGCTGCATTATCCTTCCCGTACTGTCCCAAAACATGCATTGGTGACTGGCCTCTGGGGGGAAAAAAAAGAATAAAAAGAAGTTGTTTGTTATCCTGATCAAAGTCTGCTTGCTGTTACAGTACTCATCCAACTCCTGGTTTCAAGCTTGGTTCAGAGATTTTAACAACACTATATTAAGTAACTCCATACATCATATGACTGCTGGACCGTAGCCTTCCTTGGTATACATGATTTCCACACGATTTAGACAGCTTGCTCCACGCATCTCACTACAAAATTAGTGTAGTACTACAATCCAAGCCAAATCTTTGTTGTTTTTTTCTGTCTGATGACATCAGTGCGTATTTTGAAACAGTACGTGGTTCTTTTGGTCCGTCGAGAGTACGCTAATTACCTAATATTAAAGGCTTCTGCATCCACATTGCACTCTGTGAGAAGGACCCGGATATTGTTGAGGCGGCCGTGCATCACTGCCAGATGAAGAGCTGAAAAGCAAAAAAGAGAAACTTAAAGAATCTGAAGTAGTGAGTGTCAGCAATAAGTACAGTCTGATAAAACTTAAGCACTTCCAATTCCCCCACCTTCACTCTCCAAAACTCCTTCCCCATCAGCTTTGATTTCTTGCACTTCCACTCTAGCGAGCCCATTCAGTGGGCTACCTCTACCACTGGGAGCTATCACGAACTTTCTTACTGAAGTGTTTACATCTACTTGTATAAACTTTAGAAGTTTACCATTATTTCCATTTTCATCTACAGCTGCAAAGTCTACTCCATTCTCCAGAAGGACTGAACAAATGGTGGGCAAATCTTGCTGGGCTGCTAAGTGAAGAGCAGTCTGACGATGCTTCGTCAGTTCATTCACCTGGGCACCTGCAAGCAGCTGTCAAGATGCAAGAAGGAACATGTTCAAAGATGTTCTCAGGGCTATTAGCCAACAGTTTATTTCTGTGAACAAACCATGTAAGACTCCACTGTACAGAGACAGTTCTAGGCCTGGAGGATATATAAAATGCCTGATTTTACTGAGCTGCTGCAACGTGTGCAGGAAGTACAAAGTAAGGTTCTTGCTTTAAAGTGACCCTCACTCCCTAAGGATTCCTGCGAATCCAGTGCGCTCATACAAAGGCTACGGATGCAGCTGAGCTAGCAGCACAAGCTAAGGGAACTTTAGGAAAGCCTGAGCTTTGTTTCAGAAAAAGGAGCATCACCTTCAGCTCAATTCTCCAGCCTACAGGCAATGTGCATTAAGGCAGAACATACCTCTTTAAGTAGAAAAATTCTCTCCAGCACATACCAGATTACGCACAATGATCTCTGAGCCAGCTTGTACAGCCAGGTGGAGAGGGGTGAGCTTGGAGGCATCCTGGGCCCGAGAGTTGACGTTAGCCTGTACGCTTATCAGGAACAGCACACTCTCAATGTCCGAGTTCTGGACAGCGACATGTAGGAAATTCCGACCTTTATTATCCACCTGTGGGAGAAAGGGCACATGAAATGAAACCCCTTATTTCTGTAGAACAGCAGACTTATGTAGTAGGACATATTTTCACTAAGAGATACTTGCTCCCTCTGCTTGAGGTGAACCGTCTTGTTCCTTTCACTGCCTGACATCAGAGACTTGATGGATGTGACAACCAAACACTGAGAAATTATCAGCTGAAACTGCTCACTCTGGTCTGCTTCAGACTCTTTCTACTTTAGAATCTTGTCATTTCTTGACCACGCACTGCAGAATATTACAACAGACAAAGGGCTAGCGGCTGTTGCAGTAAGTACTGAGCAGCAGTTAACAAACTCTGTTCAAGGAAACAAACTTGAGTCTATCTGGCAGCCAGCACTGGAGAAGGAGGCAACACGTAATGCTGCCACACTGATGCCACGTGTATTTCTCTGGCTTAATACCGAGTGCACATTATTGTCCATCTCTGCCTTTAGGCTGATGTTAAAGCATGTTTAGAACTGGCTGTATCTGTAATTGTGTTTTAGATACATTACAACAGCTCATCAAGCACTCATATACTTCACTAGTAATTAAACTTACATAGGGTAGGAAGAAACTCCTGAACGGCTGTCTGAGTGTCACACCAGAACTCTTAAGATTAGTTGGAGGTTTTATAGTTCAGGGCTGCAGCATCACATCTATTTCTCAGTCATTTTAGGTCAGGGTTTCTGTTTCAGATAGCCTTAGGAGAGCTCAGTAACAGATTACTTGTGCACTAGTCCAGCATAAGACAAGCGCAGAGCTGGAACTTTCTCCTTCCATACACATATGCCTGTTCCTCAATTCGGTACTGACAAGATGAGATAAGGTTTGATGAGACACTATCCTTGATGTTCTTCCTCAGATACACACCTACGGTTTCCCAATAAAACCTGGCACCTTGCATGTAAAGCCACAAAAGGAAAAAGCAGAATTTGCCTGTGGAACACCTGTTACCACAAACGAGTGCAGTAAGACAACCAGCATGCTCTGAATGCTCCCAGGCTTACCTGTTCAGCAGCTCCTGGTTCCCTCTTCAAAATTGCTTCAGCTGCTTTGTTATTTTTATATGTCATAGCACATGCAAAAGGAGTCATTCCTTGCCTGTCACGTACATTTAGCTTAATATCTGGATGTGAAATCATAAGCTGAATGATAACATTATGTTGGTTGCTAATGGCAACGTGGATTGGAGTTCTTCCTTCTGCATCCTAGAAGGAAACCAGGAAGTTTGTTACAAGAAGATTCAGTAACACACAAATCCTTCCTTCACTAACACACAAATGCTTCCTTAATTCTGAAGAGTCAAGGAAACTTGTTCAATTCTGTAACATACTCAGCCACCCTTGGCTGGGACGCCAAACAGTTGCAGGAGGAGCTCAAATCCACAGTGTGAGTAAAGCAAATTGGTATTTTCCCCCCACTTCCAAACAGGCTGACCTCAATCCTGTGCTACACAGCCATTTAAGTAGCTCAGGGTAACATCTCCCTGGCAGTCAGACATTTTGGGGGCAGAGATGAGCATTCCAACTTAAGTCTAGCAAATTCAAACAAGGTGTTTCACCACTTTTATCAAGCAGCAGTTTACAGTCGCTTTGTGACTAAGTGTTCTGTCATTCATCTTGGTCTTATTTTCAATAGCATCAGGACCTGGAAAGGTTATACGTTCATTTCTTTTGTTGCTATTTGTCAAGCTTCTGTTTAACGATTACTGCGTAATCAGAAATGAAGTGTAACTCATACTTAGATCACATTAGTTTACTTGGGAACAGAAGACACTTCCCAAACATATTCTGGAGTTTTACACTACAGCTGATCTAATGATTAACTGCAGCAGAATACAGCCCTGCTCCTGCCTTTAATTCACACTAGGGACAGAAAAGGTAATTCCAATCGTTACATCAGAAAACTAACTCTGAAGGAGGTTTTCTATATCATTATTTTCATTTAGTACAGCTGCATGACTCAACCCACCATGGGGGCAGATAAGCACTAGATCTGGTAGCGAGGGACCAGAAAGAACAAACTGCAGCCAGGCATCACACTGGCTCAGCTATAACAGAAGGATGTGCTTTTTCCCATCATGCAAAATACAGAGCTGAGAGGAAAGCTTGTTTTCACTACAGTAGAGGCAAAGAACCTACTTCAAAGAAACCGTGCCCAACTTGTCTACGCACCTGAGCGTTCACATTGGCACCAAACTCCAAAAGGCACTGAATCACCTCTTCTAGACCCCAGCAGGCTGCCAAGTGTAGGGGTGTCTGTCCATCGTGAGCTTCCTCTTCTCCTTCTCCATTCGGGCCTGGCTTTCTGGAACTATTCACGTCACAACCACTAAAGCAAATAAAATATTGTCAATTTAATACAGAATTAGAACTGTTCCAAACAAAGGTCAGAAAAAAAATTAGAAGAGCTGATCCAGCAACCGCTGACACATTCTACAAAAGCACAAGTTCCTGGATTTAGCTCAATTCTTGTCACCAAGAACACAGCGCTAATATAGGTAACGGAATACGACTTCAAGGTTAGTCAGGCTTCCCCAAGTGCCATCCACCCACCAAAACTCTACTGAAGCACATCTATTACTGACTCAAAATAGCATTCAATTAATTTATGCCAAGGAAATACATACAAGCGCACTAGGAGGTTTGTATTTTAGAAGGGCTCTGACCTGCGAATAAGAAAGCACGCTATTTGTTCGTTGTTTTCATCAATAGCTCTATGAAGAAGAGTTTGTAAGCAGCCACTTGGTCCTGACCCCCAACAGGTTGAATCGCAGCCATGCCTAACCTGGAAAGAGAAGCACAGTGAGGCAGCAAAGGTTTTTATGTCTCCAGCAGGCTCCTGCTATTTTATATAGTTCTTGACTAGTGCTTCTGAATCTAGAGGCAGAATCTGAGATGCCCTATATATTCTTGTGATAAGTCATTGGATTTCAGGAAGCCACTTTAATGTCTTCCAGAGCAGTACCTTATTGATCTACTATGTGATAAGCACTGCTTACTAATAGATCAGAAATACTCTGAATAGACAGGTCTTAAGCCAGTTTGGCTAAGAGCTACTTCACTTTCAGCAACAACCAGCACCTAAAGCCAGTCCAGTAACATCAGGAGACATCGCCTTTGAAAATCTGAGCTATCTGCTTGTTTTCCTACACAGAAAACAGATATAAACAGAGATATTTTTTCAGGAACTGTATTTCCAATATTTGTATTATTTTATTACGGAATTACTTGAAAAATGTTTTCTGCTCTATTACTTATGCCTGAAAGTAAATAGTTTTAAAAGTAAGTAAGCCTTGATGGAACTTCACAATGCAATAAAAACCAGCACACACTTTAAAGCATACGCAGGAGTGTTCAGCTGTATTCAGGAAGCTGATCATTACACACAGCTGGCATGCCACCGACTGATGGGTTTAGATCTTACTCTTTTCAGAATCAGGAATCAAGGCAGCATATTCTATACTTTTATTACAGTGGCTGCAAGATATTTGGCTATGCCTCCCACAGTGCTTGAAAAAAATTTCCCAAGAAGGAACTTCTGGTGAAGAAAAACCTCTAGAAGTTAGCTAGCGGTATAGCACTACACTGCTCTGTTCATGCACCGAGTTCGTTTTGCTGACGAGCCCTTTGTTGCTAGCAAGATGCACACAGAAGTGAGACTAAATTAAAGTCAACTAACAGGTCTTACCAGAGTTGACGCAATATCTTCCAGGTTATTTTCTAAGGCAAGCCATAAAGGAGGGTTTCCTTTTTCGTCTGGCACAGACATGTCCGCTCCCCTGGTACAAATCGCATCCACCACAAGAGGGAGCTGGTTTTTTATAGCCAGCTGTAAGGCAGTCTCTCCGTCCTGGGTTCTGCAACAGATGGATTGAGGCACGTTACTACTGCATCATAAAGTTAGGCCTCAAGTTAGGGTAGTTTATTGGCAAAGTCAAGACTTATCTCTTCACGTGTGTACTTTTCCTGTGGTAAAATCACATCTCCACAGCCAAGCAAACACACCATGTTAGTTTTTAATCACTACTATGCAGTTCACCTTTCCTTCCACCCCTCCCTTCAGCAGCAAGTGACTGATTCTAAAGTTTCAAAAGCATGTTAAGTGTTCTTAGCTCAGAGACACTCTCATTTCCTTCAGCGCAGCCAGTACGAGAACAGAGTTCCTTCCTAGCAAGCCTACTGCCACAGAGGCAAACAGCAGGGTCTGCTCTGGGGTAAGGCTTCAGTCAGAAGTAGCAGCTGTTAAAAAAGAGGAGTTAGAACCGCAGTTCAGGGTGGTCTGCACCCATGACATTCAGTACTGTACAGCTCACCAAACTTCAGAGACAGCCTGTCAGCCACGTAAGCAGAAAAACGCTTGAAGTCTAACATCGAATTGTCTAGGAGATACTCACAAGGTAAGTGCTACTGCAATCTTGTTGCTGGAGCTGCGGCTAACTAGTTTAGGTGGTAGAAAACAGGCAGCTGCAACAAGCCAGCAAGTACATGAGACTGTGAAATTAAGTACCATGTCTCTAGGAGTTGAGTCTGTTACAGAGAATCTATTCTACTTAAAATTAAGTGGCACCTCCCTCTGCAGCCTCAAGAACACAGACCGATGGAGCTATATATAGGCCTACGTTCACATACGTAATCCCTCAGCCATAACTGGTGTCATAAACCCTCAAACATACAATTATGTACAAATTATGATTTAAATCTATTTTCAAGCCATTCAATAAAAGCAGCCATCACTACCTGCTTCTAAATACATATCCCACGGAGTGCTGTAACAGTTAAGGTCCTACCTCACGTTGATATCTGCCTGATGCTCCAGCAGGAAGAGGGCACTCTTGCTGTCCTGTCTCTGTATGGCCATATGTAGCAGAGTCTGTCCGTCCGACATCGTGTCGTTGATGGACGCCCCAGATCCAAGCAGCTGAGCTGCTATTGTGTGCATGCCTAAAGAGTTAAGGCTCATTAGTATTTTACCTTCAGTTCTATAAAAAGAGATGATAAAGATGAGTAAATCTTCAAGCTTTCAGTTTTCAGTACAGGGAAGAGATGCACTGAATCAATGCTAGAATCAATTTACATACATGAGCTACACCAACTCCTGACACTACCCAACTTGAATACTCATCTACAGACTTATCAAATACTGATTACTGAGTCCTTCTGGTCTTGAAGAAAGAAGATGTGGTCTCGTATACAGCAGGGCTTTCCCACCAGTTTCACCAATCTAAATGTAGCAGAGTCCTTGACCATATCTAGCCTAATCCTTCACATCACTTCAGATTTTCGTCCAACAAACAATAACACTCGTAAGCTTGAACATTATTAGATATTTAGCTTAGTTTCTCCTCCATCTCAGAAGCAGGTGAAGGCAATGGTAAAGAAAATGCTTCATTTTGGTTTCCTTTCATTGGCAAGTCAAAAGCCCAGGCAGTGAAGACACTTGGACGACATCCAGCACTCCTGTACAGAGCAAAACATCTCTTAAATCCAGAGTATGACCAGGCACCCCCCATACAGTTGTTGTTTTCAGCTCAGTAGGACCATACTTAAATTGACTCTGTAGTGACCACACCACCTCTTTCTTTTGATGATGTCCTGATGCTGAAGTGACAGATGGCTGCAAACAAAAATACTAGTTTTTTCCAAACTATTCCCCTCCACATTTCAGACAAGAAAGCATCTTCTGAATCAGTATTTCAGGTTCCATACCCAAAATAGCTCACCTTCCCCATGTAAAGGTCAGCATTACTGCATTAACTAACATTTGGAAGAGTTAACCATGAACAAACAACACAGTGACCTGATGTGAACTTGTGGTAGTTTTCAAAGTAGAATAATTCCACAGACCTACAAGTACAGTTGTGGGCAAGAGGCTCCAGGCTACGGGCTAGTCAACAAGAGAAGCTGCAAGGCTAGAAACCTACCAGAAAGATGTGCACATTCAGTTCTAGAATCTTCTCCTTCACAGCCAGGACATTAACACATACCTGCTGTTTTGCCTTAACAAAAAAGATACCTACATGATAGCTTCTATGTCGCTGTGAATTCTCATCTTGTGTTGAAAGCACATACCTGTCCAGAGAGCCAATCCCAGCACAGTCTGGTCTCTTGAGTCCTTCAAACTGAAGTCAGGAATAATTTGCAAGTTGTTGGTAGCATGAAGAGCATTAGCTACAAAAAAAACCCAACGCAACAAAAAAACCACCCATGAATTAGAGCGTTCTTGTACTTGATCTGCTGTCATACACCGAAAGCTGCAGGAGTAGCAATGTCACACTTTGAAACAGTGTGTTCCTTCAGCAGGTGGTTGAAAGTTCTTCAATTTCTCATGTGACACTGCTTAGAACTCAGGTAGTGTTGCCACTACTGACTATTCTGAATACTCATACTAAAAAATATTCAACTTTCTAACTAAGAGACTTGACCTGCCCCCTTTCTACCTCCATTTCCAAATGGAGGGGCATATAAAAAGCTCCGAGAATGAAAGCGGAAGCTGTACTACACCATGCTGGCAGCATCCCTCCTTCTCAGCTGCCTGGGATGAAGGATATTCTCCCCAGCTCACCTGCTCCCTTCTAAACACCACTTAGAGAAGAAGACAAAAAGGCCTTGCTTCAGCTGTCAAACTCCTTTCCTGCTGCTGGAAAGAAGCTGAACTAGCAGCATTTAATAAACTGTTGTCTGCCAGTATTTCAGTACTCCAGTCTCAGTTCTACTCTAACACTAGCATTACTCTCTCCAAAATCCTCTAACTGAAAGAGCTGAGGAAGGCAAAAGTCTCACAACAGAAACATGCCGGTATCCACATTTGATTCCAGCCTTCATCTGAACCAAATGCTTTGATGGGAGAGAGAACAGGGATCTGAGCTGTACAGTTAGAACGTAGCCTGGGGCTAAGCGCTCCAGTCCATTAACTACAGGGAAGAACTTCAAAAGATTCACACCCAAATTAATTTTCTAGTCTTAACTAGCAGATGATTTGAGTTTAAGACCATGTTTAGCCAGTCTTATCAACTGCTCTGTTTAAACAATGTTTACAAGAAGGCATGCCTTAGTAGTAGTTTGCCAAAAAACCTGTTTAAATGCCATCTTGACACACCAATCCCTTACAGCATCAATACAGTCAATGATGGAAAAAAACCCCAAACAAACAACAAAAAAAACAAAGCACAAAATATACCTTTTTGTTCCAGGATGACTGACACCACATCTGGGTGATTGTAAGCAATAGCCAAGTGAAGAGGAGTCTGCAGATAAACATTCTCTGCCGTTGGAGAAGACGCATCTTTCTGACCGAACCCTGCTTCTGCCGTCTGGATGTTTGGGTTGGCTCCTTGCTGCAGAAGTTCTGCCGTCAGGTTGGCCAGGCCGTGCCTGCAGGCTGTATGCAGTGGTGTTTCTCCCTTTAATAAACAGGGCATGAGGTTACCAGCTTAATTCATGAAGAGAAGCAGCTTTTAAACTACTCTGCCCACAAGAACTGGTGTGAAGAGCTTAACCCCTAGGAGCTGAAGCTCCTTAGGACTTTCAAATTACATAAATTATCCTATATTAAGGACTTCATTACAACAGGCACTCACAGAAGTGTTAAAAGCATGTTAAGGAACAGTGATGCTGGAAGAACAGAGTCACAAGAATGCAACAATTGCCTGTTCACCAGTAAAGATCTGAAAACATGGAAAAGGCATAACAGGAGTTCCAAATTGCTTTCAGCTATGGTTAGCAATGAGAGATCTCTGCTACCTTCTTCCTGAAGAGAAACAAGGAAGCGTTCAGACTACAGTGTGTAAGTTTCTGCTTTTACCCATTTGTTTTGGTGGTTGACTTTTGCTCCATGAGTCGCTAGGAAGAGAGAGGCTGCCTCATTTCCTGCACCAGCTGCCCTCTGAAGCAAGCAGTTTCCTAAAGAAGAGGCATGAACACCATTAAAATGCTATTCCAACCACGTTCTGACGCCAGCAAGTGCAGCAGCATCTTCCCCACTACTTTACAAGATGAAAAATTGAAGCCAACAAGGAAAATCCTATCTACTAGTAGCCCCCCTGCAACACTGGACTGTCACGTGCACTACCATTAGCAATTACACATTTTGAAACTGGAAAGAGGATATTAAGACCTGGCAAGAAGTCCAGATTTTCTGTCACTTCCTGCAAGTCAAGCTCAGCTTGTGACTGTCAGTGCTCCAGCTCCCATTCATTATGCAGTAAATGCTGCTGAAATCTCGTTCAGCTCCTCCGAGTGCAGTTAACCTCAAGCAATTAACTTCCAAGCCTTCCACCTATGCAGAAATACAAACCTCCCTTTTACCTGTTACTGTGTCTGGAGCATCTGTATTGCTGCCTCGTTGGATCAACCTTGCTGCAAAACTGTTCTCGTCAAAGGAGGTTCCATTTACAACGGGGGCATCCTCAAAAGGATTTACAGACTGATCAGACGACACAGTGATATACTGAACCGCGAGCCACAGAGCTGTGCTTCCTTCATGATCCTTCAGCTCCAAGTCTAGTCTAAAAATAAGAGTTAATGTTCCCCAATTTATACCTTAAGAAGTGGTTCCCCAATGCAGCTTCAGTTTCAAGTGTGTGAACAGCTGTACTAGTTTGACATCTCACTGACAACTCCTGTAGCCTACTGTAGCTTCCAGGTACTTCAGAGAATTTGTGAATACTCTGAAACAAGCAAGAGACCTTTTAGCAACTACTAGATTTATGCTTATTGCTCCTAGGAAAAGGATGGCCCTGGTAGATTTGGGATCCCACCAAGTTTTACAAAGAGGCAAATCCTCTTGTAGATGGGGAAACTGTGTACAAGAGCTGCAATCTGACCACAAAGAAATCAAGTCAGATGAAGTATTCTGCTTCATCACCATAAGAAGTCAACTTATTAGCTTTAATCAGAACCCAAATTGAGCTCAAGACTGTATTCAGACATTTTAGGAGTCATATTACTCCTTCTAGCTCCACCACAAGTAAAGTTATTGCTATGTTATTTCACTTAGTCCTCTCTGAAAGACACACAGATGCAGTTTACTTCCCCTACAGTGGGACAAAAACTTTCTTGGCTTCTGGCATTGCTCTGGCATCTTAAGTTATGCAAAGCCTTTACACTTTCCCATCCCTAAGCCTATCGTTAGCCTTGTAACAAGGCAAAAAGGCACAGAAGAGTCAATAAACCAGTTTCCATATCTTCACTGTACAATATAACCTCAGTGTATTTTTCCTTCAAGCAAGACTTACTGTTTGCACTGGAGAAGCTGACTGAATACAGGTTCATTCCTGACCACAACTGATACATGTAACGGGGTCCTGTAATTGGAACAAAGCACAGTTACATCAGTAATAACCGAGACACTTAAATTTTGACCACGGTCATCAATATTCTCCTACCAATTTTGGGGGTTAACTTTTCTCTCTGCTTTCACAAGCAAATCTTGAAAGAGCGAGCAATCTACCCTTTTAGTGGACATAACTCCAATTAATGTAGTAGTAAACAACTCTACACTAACGTGGAAGCTAACTTTCAAGCAAGAAGTCCAAGCGCTTGATGTATCAGAATTGAGTAGCTGATTCACTCTCTTCTACATCATTTTATGTACTTGTTTGCCAGCTCAGCCTAACCCGTAAAGCACTTTGCAGGCCTACACTTCAGATCAACACATTGCAGATACTAGTTCTTTGAGACAATTTCAGCTGCGCTGGCAGCTTCCAAGGGAAGCACCTTCCAGGAATACTACTTGTCACCTCAGGTAGCTTGCCTTACCGTTCAGTGATTCAATAAAACAAATTGTGTGCCACATGTTCTAACACAATCGACTCACCCCAGCTTCCTGCAGCTGGGCTATGTTTAATTGGTTGTGACAGGGGACTGCTCAGCCGGCACAGCCTTCTGCTTTGGGTGCTACCACAGGTCCCAAACTGGATTCATGAATTCACCTTTCCTGTTTCCAGCTCCACACATGCTTTGCTGACAGACCCGAGCAGGTTCTTAGCAGGCCACATCTCAACACAACAGGATTATTAGTCAAACTGGGAGCAGGCTTTGCCCAGTATTTACCTTCCTTTGCTGTCTTGCATATTTGGATTGGCTCCTGCCTGCAAGAGGGACGCCGCGATCTGCGCCATCTCTGCCATGACATCTGGCAAATGCTTCTTGGGGCTGTACGATGCCACGAGGTGCAGAGGAGTCTCTTGGTCTCCCAGTGTAGCAGCGTTCACACGGGCACCGTTTTTAATGAGAAAGTTGGCAGCAAATTTATCTCCTTTTGTGAAAAAAAACCAAGGTTATTTAAGGATATATACTTTACACACCCCATATACAAGGCCACAAAACGGATACCCATGATTTCACTCCATACCATACAGTCATTCCAACACAAATATCTGCTCTTTAAAATGCCTTAGCAACAGGCAGTTGCAGGAACACTTCGCTACAAAGTCAGGCTTCAGATATTTTCTATCAATCCCTCAGAAAAAGTGTTTTGCCCAGGGGTTACGTGTGACTCAGTCACATACCAGTTCACTCATTATGGTGATACTGAGTTTGCTAGTTCCATCACTGCTCTAATGCACAACTGGACAAATTGTGAGATTAAACACACAAGAAGTTTTTTTTAAAAAAGGTATCATTCCAGGATGTCAGTCAAAAAGTGTGTAGTTGAAGTTAGTCATCATCTGTTCAGTCTTGCTACAGAAACAAGCAATAGCACAGCCTCTGCTCTTCCGTTTAGGCCCCGTTACATACAGGGTAAGGGCTCCACCATGCACAGCACTCTTAAGAACCCCCTCTCCAGAGCTTCTCAGAAGTCAGAACGCAGGCCCTCAGTGGTACATGAAACACCAACATGCAGAGGATGACTTCAGGACAATACTAATTCCCCTTCCTCCAAAAATTGTTTCAAACAGACAAATCCACAAGTTGCTTGTCCCAGGTGCAAGACTGAAGAACAAAGACGACTGTTTGCCTGTTCAAGCAGTATAGATCGCTGTGTTATCTCTGTCAGCAAAACCCCCAAAATCCCATTTTTCTGATTTCCATCTGACATTCTTCCCTTCTCCAATGATCACAAGAATCATGTGGCAAGTTCAGACAGTTTGCTTTAGCTCCATTTCCAGAACATGTGATTGTTAACAGTGATTAATTCACTGAAGCTTTGGTTACTGAAAAGCAAGCGTTCATTCTCAGAGCTCTAGTTTACACTGAAAGCAGACATTAGAACTAGAGGACAAATGCCAGTATTAAGTATGAAGAGCAGCCTGCTGCAATCCTTCTAGTGCTTTACAGGGCTGCAGCCATCACAACACTGACCGATGCCTAGAAGGTCTCCTACTCCTGCTGCTGAAGTTTCACTCACAGGACCCAGACACCAGCAATTACCCTGTTTAGATATGCAGGAGATTAAATGAAGAAGTAGGGAGCTGTATTTTGAGCTTCAACTACTTTTAAGAGTCCAAAAGAGTGTGCTGTTAAAAATAAATATCCTTTTAATTTCTAGAAAAAGGCTTTGTCTCTATATTTGTGTCTAGGCAGTCATGCTTGATTCAATGATTTGGCAGAAAAACATTATGTTGTCAAATTAGAACATGCTCAGTATCTCCCTGTCTCTTTAGCAGACAACAAATACTCACTAGATTGCTTCTGGATGTTATGTAATAGACATTTCATTCACCAGCCAGCAGGTTAGCTTTCAGATCCCAAATAAAAGTTTGTTGGTTTTATGGTTTTTTTTTAAAAAAAAGAAAGAAGAGAGACATAGGACAGAGCTCATCCTCAATTAAATTTTTCTAACTGAACTACTGCCTACAAAGTGGCACAGGAATAGACTGTGGGACACTGGGAACAACTGCCAGTTAACAAGGGTTCATGTCCTATTTACTCACCTCTTTGGATGGCTTTATGTAACAGACTCCAGCCTCTCTTGTCTGCCCTATCTACGTCAGCCTTGTAGTTGACCAGGGTAGTGGCAATACCCTCCAATCGTTGGGCGAGGGCTAGATCCAAAGCAAGATCTCCATTGTGATCCAATTCATTGAGCTTCCCAGGAAGCTACAACAGAAATTCAGCCAACTGACATTAGAGGTACGCGCATCAGCCCAACGTAATGTTTGAACGGCCCGTTCCAATCACCCTGAAGTTAGACCTCGAGCTCTAATGCCAAGTGTTAGTGTTACCTTTACGTAAGGGCAACGCACACAGGCAAACAATGAGCAGACCAGCCTCACTACACACAAGTCTACCCCGTGGGCTGATCCGCAAGAGACCAGGAGTTCTGTTTGCAAGCCTTGTTTAGCTCGCGGGAAGCCAGCCGAGTACACTCCTAACACAAGCCACTTCCACAGTACTAGGAAGAATTATTCAATTACTACTTTGAGATACCTCAAATCCCTACTGGATTAGCACCTAAGGGTGCTAAGTACTGCTACAGCCCTAGCTTCCAATTAAGACTTGAGGCACCTTGGAGGACTAATTGAATAATTCTTGACCACTAATACTTCAGCAATTCTTCCTTCCCTCTTGTTGGAGGCCAACTTACTGGCGAGCTGTTTACAGTGTTCACGCAAACAGCACAAACACCTGTTACTTCAGACACTCAGTAGAAGAGGAAAAGCATTTGTTCAAAGAAATTACGTTTACTGAACTGCCATGAAACAGCCAAGGTGACCATTATACCATTCAGTTTTAAATTTGCATAGCAGCATCAGGTATTGATTTTTATTTTAAAAAAAACCAAAACCCTTGCATGCAACAGATCGTATCTAAGTGTTATTAATCACTTCTGAGTTATGTTTTTATGGAGCTTCTACCATTACACACACAGAAGTAGCTATGGCAATGGATACAAATAAGAATTAAGACAAAGAAATTAACAACAAGGTTCAGACTGGTGGTTAGAAACTAGTTATGTTAAACGTCAAATTCTAAAAGAGAGATCAGGTCAGTCTCACTATACCTGTGAGTCCATCTCAATAAGGTATAAAAAGACCACATCTTCTCTCTCAACTTTAATAGCCTTATGCAAGGGATATTCTGTCTTTGACTTGAACATTTTATACAGTAACTGAGCACTCATGCTGCTGAAGTCTTCTTTACGTAAGTCATCCTAAAATGAATAAGAATTAAAAGGGTAAGCAATAGTACTGTTCTGTTTACAAACAAGGCACTGCACAAGGCAATTGCGAAATTCACAAGTGCAGTTAAAAACTTCATTTTGATAACATCACAAGCAGAAACAGTCCAAGAAAGCCTTTTAAGACTAGGAAGAAACACTCAGGAAGTTTTCCATCTTACAGTTTCAAGATCAGTTACTGAAGTTTTTCTCCTCTTATACCTACAGACACAGAAAACTAGCATTTTACCAAACAGTAAGTAGATTAACACGTAGTCTCTACCTGGACTTAAATCACAGATCAGTTTTCTGACAAAAAGGCCTACAACTACTGACAACTCCACAGAACTGGGAAGAACTCTGAACAAAAGTAAACAAACCTAGAAGTATAAAGACCTTAAGTCTGAGTCAGTATTCATTTGACTAAACAGAAACCTCATCTTCAGGTAGAACACAGCAACACAAGTGCCAGAAGCAGCGGACTTAAAATGCCTGACCTGCAGGCTTACATATAAGATTTGTTTATTTCTTACATATGATAAATTATGCACTTTAGATTAATCTAAATCCTCATGCAGTAGTAGCCTGCTGTTGACAAGTCTGATTTTAAAGGCTAATCCATTACTCACTATTCAAACTTTCCTCAACAGACCAGAGAAGTTGCTTCCAAGACTCCCTGCCACTCCCTCCATCACAGAAGTTAAACTCTTCCCTGGCTTCCGTGGATTATTTTTAGAAGTAAAAGGAGGCCTGGGATTTGTGATCCGTATAGACAGAGACCAGCTATGGATGAACTTCTAAACAGCTCAGAGTCCAGATCTGATAAACAACCCTCTTGTTTATTAGAATACAGTCCCTCTGGTTTGGCTCATATTTAAAAAAGCTGCTTTTTATGGTGAAGTCTTTCCAGTGACCAGAACTCTTCAGGCTATCAGCTACTTCCTCCCAAACAAGACATTCACACCAAAACAGACAACAGACATAACCTCTGAAGAGAATAAAATAAAAAAAATCTGAGAGAAGGAGCCATTTAATGTGCTTTATTTGAAACATATAACTATAAATCAGTATTTCAGAGAATACCAAACAACACACAGTGTCAAAAGCACAGGTTATAAAGATAACCAAGAGAGATGGGAAGAAAGTCCCTCCTGCCTCAGAAGTAGCCCCCTCACTCACATCGTGGGGCAGGGCAGGCAGATTTGACAGCTTTTTATCAACACTTGCTCCTTGCAGACATATAAATGAGGGTCAGCATGATAGGTCACCTTAGTCACTGAAAGTTATCAGGAATCCAGGTAATCCTCATCCCAGCCGGAACAGCTGAATGCTAGCATAGTGAGAGATGCTCCTGAGGTCAGACAGTACAGTAAGTCAAGCAAAATTCTACTGACTGTGTTCCCACACTCCACAAACATTTCTTCTCTCACCTCCTGCTGGCAGTACTCACCCAGTGACTCGCAATTATCTCCGCACAGTAGTTGAGAAGCGTGCTGGCATTCAGCTCCGCAGCAGTCTGATAGAAACGGATGCAGTTCCTGACATTAACTAGTGACATAACTCCTTTCTCACATCTGCCAAAAGCGAAAAGCCAGTATTTAGCGATCGGGAAACTGCTTTACTGTAATCACTCTCCCACGCCGTAAACAGGGCCTTACAGACTCCTTTTCCTAGATAAAAACATGTCTTGGCCTTGCTTTACTACAAGGCTAAGCAGCATAAACACACTTCGATCAGAAGCCCTGTCGAGCGGATTGCTTCTAAAGCCTACGTAAGCTGAGGTCCCACAACAACACCACACGCTGCAGAACGGGCAGGTGGACACAGACATCCCAGTTCTCCAAGGGAACAAAGTGCAGGTCACTCGCTGTCAGGAAGTAGGGAAGCTGTCTGTTTTACAAGTACGACAGTGCTCACAAGCAGCTTTTTTGTCAAAGTGAGAAGACAAAAAAGACCCAAACAAACATGCCAAATACAGCTATTTGTTTAACGAAGAGAAGGGGTAATTAGATCCCTCTAATATTTGTAGGTATATTAGTCTGAGTTTATAGAGGTGAATAACATCCATGAACCTCAAAATGAAGTTAAACGTGCCACTGATCTCCAGACAGATACGAAGACAAAAAAAAAAAGGAAATACTTGTCTCCAGGTGCAGCTACCTATCAATACATCTAACAACTACTAGTAGCATACTGTACGTGGACTTGTCACTAGACTACCATGACCAGACAACAGCTGACGAATGTTTACCTAGTACAACACGAAGATAGTTTTAGGCTGCTACAAAGCTTGAAGGCAGTTTTAACACTCGCCTTGCAGATGGCAACTTTTTTTTGCTCAAAAGGACTGACAGCAGTTTAGTTTGTGTCACACTGAATCACACTGAAGTCACAGATGGAGTGCCATGTACTGCTACAGCCCCGGACAAGCCTTGGGTGAAAGGTTACTAGATCAAAGAGGGCCTCCCCTACACAATGGGGTAATCAATCATAAGCTCCTCAAAAGGGCAAAATGTCACGCTGTTACATTAACCTTCTTTATGAAGAAAAGTTGCCAACAAAATGCACAGCAGAACAGCTACTTAAGTTAAAAATTTTCACCTGTGGTATTTTAATACTGCAACCTACTTGCCATTGACTCTTCTCAGCATTCTCTTTAACAATTTCTTTCTTGCAGCTCTCCAGAGCTTGTTACTAATGTTCTGATCTCTACTTCCTCCTAATGCCCAATTAGTTATTAGCTCAACTGGGAGAGGAACTGGGAAGTAAACATACAAAGCTATGAGAAAAACTGCTACATTTAACTGCAGCGCAACGCTTCATTTCCTGCGATAAACTGAATGTCATGTTGGATCAGTAAAACATCACGACTTGAAAAAGCAAAATTTTATCCAGCTGCCAGCAGCTATTATCTTATTTCTATTCAAACAAGGTTGAAATGCTCAAGAAAATTCACTTTATTTACCAAGACTCACCTTTCCCTAAGCAGCTGGAGCTGAAATTTATTGGCTAGTTTCATCAGCTCTGTCAAGAAGATATCATCTTCTCGTAGCTCAAGTTCATCTGTGTAGATCCACCGCAGCATTGCCATGGTTACCTCTGGGTCAGCATCTGGTACAGAGAGCAACAGGGATTAATAAAATACCCAAAGAACAATCGCCTGTTCAGGTAGTTTCTATTCCTCTGACTGTTATAGTCACAGCTACTATGAAAAAGAAGATAGCCCCAATGAAACCATACTGCTTTAGTTTAATCAAAATTTCAAAACAGAGGTAAAACTGGTCAGAAGTTGAAACTAGGAACAACGCTGGCACCAAGCAAGAAAATATTTTTTCCACTGGGATACTGTGCAGAATGCAGGGAGCCCTATAAGATCTACCTGCTCACAGATATTGCATATTTGGGGGCCAGTGATGCCCCTTTAAAATTTTTCGGTCCCTCACCTACAGTTTAATCCACATCTACATGTAAAAAGCACAAAACTCCTTTTCAATTTAAGAATCCTCCGTCTTTTACACTCCAGCCATGAGCTATGGGCTGTTGCGTTCCAGTAAAGGTACTCACACCTCGATAATGACCACAAAGTACTTAAAACTGCCAGGAACCATTTCCAGGAGAGGTGCAAGAGGCACTTTAAGAAGTAGGTTAGATTCCAGGTGTTTACAAGACTCATCACAAGCCTGATGTTTTAACACAGCAAGAAAACCAGAAAACTACACCACAGGACATGAGCTCCACAAGCCCAAGGGCCAGAGACCTTTGTCACCTCCTCAAAAGCAGAATGACGATCCTACTTAGGAGGATGTAGATGTGAATTATCCCACAAAAGATCAGACCAACTACAGCAAAGCACAACATTCATTTAGAAAAATAACATTAGTTCCTCAAGCAATTTTTTTTTAAGTGCAAACAAACATGTTTAAGACATCAAAATACCCACTCTAAAATACCTCTGCACATGCAGAGCTGCCCCAAAGTACTTGCAGAGTACCAGGCAGCACCTGACACAGCATGTGAAGTGCCTCCTAAGAAACAGGAGGTTTTAGTGAAGTATCTTCTGCTGAACTTGAAGCGACCAGAAAACCTACTTGAGCTGTAATATCAGCTCTGCCTTGGCAGAGATAAGAGCTTGTTTTCTCTTTCCCAGCAAGAGAACATGTGCTTATCCTTCTATTCTTAAAGAGTTCGTATGATCTGCAACATTTTCTAAAACAATCTTAAATGCTGCCTGTACTTCGAAGTTAGGATTCAAGCAACACTAGCTTGCAAGATCTTAAATAGAAATTCTTAAGAAAATCAGGATGGTTTTAGTCAACATCTTGTTGCTTGCTACAACTATTTTATAATCTAATCCTTGTGCCATTTATTAAATTTTATTAAAAAAATCAATTTTACACTGTGGAAAGCAACACTTACTAGCACTTACTTTAAGCATCATTCTATAATAGGAAGTGTTTGCACTTAAACATGCAGTTACATTTGAGATCCTTGGACTAGCTTAAATGTGGAGCTAGAAATGCTATGGAGTGCCACTTGCCACAAAACTACAATGCAAGAGTGTTTTGGTAATAATCTTCTGTTAGCAGAGCACTCCATTTAAAAACTTCTTGGCACCCGTTTTCTTGTGGCTGCAGAAAGACCCATCGATTCTTTCCAGGAAACCTGTGCTGTCCAGTACAAGTAGCTTGCTGTGACTTGCTTCTTTCCAGCTTGTCTGCACTTCACATTCACGATAAGGTTAAGTGCAGAAAGTGCAGCCAATACTTTATACTCAATATGTCAGCCAGCAAACCTGCCTATCTTCATGCCTGTTTTTATTGCTCACAAATTAACTGTGTAAGATTCTTCTTGTTAAATCTGGGAGAAAAGCCTGTCACAAGAGGTTCCATCTGTAGAAACATTGCCCACTGTAAGTAAACGTGAGAAACAGCTACAGCAGAACAAAACACTGTCTTAAAGACAACTGTCTTGCAGAAAACTCCTCTTCCTCATTTATTTTGCAAAGGTATCAAAGCGCTAAAGCAAATAACTTCTAACAACACATCAATGCTGGCATTAATTTCCCCCCACACGCTATGTTAACATGAAGCAAAGTATTTCCATGACACACTTCAGAGAAATTATGCACACTGCCTCAAAAAGCCCTGTCCTTAGAAAAGAAGTCAAGCTCCTCCATATAGATTTGTTTTTCATTATGTTTAGTTGACTCTAGAAAAGACAAAGAGGCCACCATCCTCAAACCCTGTTCATTAAAAAAACCCGTAGACTACTGACTTAACGGGCAGCAGCACCAAGCTGACAAGCGTACTGCCATGTTTCAGAGACAAAGCTCCATAATTCACAGGTTAAGCGCTGCTTTTGGTGGACAGCTGTAGTCCTGCAGGTAAGTAACCTTTTCCCAACAGGCCCTTTCACCAGTCATCTTAAAGACAATCAAAGCGACGTGTTACCAAGCGGTGACCGACCTGACAGGTCCAGCTCCTCTGTGGAAGCAAGGTTGGCAAGACTCCAAGCATCACTGCGCGCCGCCAAGACAAATTTGTGAGCGTGGATGTGCTCGTTCCTAACCTTTATCTTCAGATCACTGGTAAGAAGGGGGAAAAAAGAAACAACACATGAATGTATAAAGCTGACTTCCCCTGTGCTTAGATATGTATGGATTCAGCATCTCCACAGGATCCACGTCCTGGTATCCACATTTAAGTTCAAGGTAAGACACCAAAACACATTTAATTGGTGAAGTAGAACATACTGTCAAACAACGTAATTCTTACTTTTCTAGGGAGAAATGCAGTGAGCCGTTAGTATTTAAAGAATTAGGGTTTGGGTTTTTTTTTCTAAACCATTTTGAAATAAACTGCAAGGAGATTATTGTAGAAGATGATAGAAAAATCCAACAACCCCAACGTTAAATATTTATGTTGCAGTGTCCTTACCGATACTGTCAGCTAAACACCAATGGTTTCAGGCAGGACCAGCAAGAGAACAAATGATGTTTGACAGCAGTCTGAGCACAAGGCAGACTCCAAGAATCTCCAGTTCCCAGGAGACCAGCTTTCATCCTGGTTAGCCTCACTAGTTAGAAAGTACCCAGTCTGTTTATTTTGAAGCCACAATAGCTTGCAAGTGTTCTGACTGTGCATGTGTGCTTTCAAGTCCATTTTCTAAATCAAAATGCTACTACAAACAACAATATAAAATAAAGAGATCTTACTAACATAAATGAACTCCTTTCCTATATTGGCATTGCTTTCAGTAACACCAAAGAAATTGGTGTTGTAGTCGTGGAACTAAGTTAGTTAAGGGATCTAGAATATTGAAGGGGATCCTTGACGCGCCTGTAGAAAAGAAACACTTGAACCGAATTTTTTGTGGACACTCAAAGATACAACATCAGTTATGCCACCATGTCACATACCACTGGTTAAGACCCGTTACATCATACAACCAGACAAGCCAATTTAATCAGGCTTCTTCTCAAACAACTTGAGCACAGAACTGGTTTCAAGGACATATACTTTCAAGAAAGGAGAGCTTTTCAGTTGGTAGAATATACATCGTGTAATTAATCCATCCACTAGGTATATATCAGCTTAAAATGATGTCTCTTCAAAGGCAGTTTGGCTGTTGACAGTGAAGATGGTCAGTTTTCTTTAAACTTGTCTTAAACGTCAGTCTCGGAGATTAACTTCTACTCAGAGCTCTTAATTCAAGAATGGGATTCAGTACGCTATCTGATCTTAGCAGGCTGTTCCTGCTGCAGATGCAACCAAGGGCCCTATTCATACCAGACAGTAGAGAAAAAACTTTCCTAGTCTAAGATTAGCACCTACTTGCAGTCAAAGGTTCCTGTAATGCCCTTGTCCCAAAAGGGGAATTTCTTACCTGTACTGCTCCTGCTGATAGAGTTCAGCTACAATGGCAAGAAGTCGGCTGATGAAGGTGTCACTGGCGTTCTCTTTGTTAGCCTCGGCAGCCAGTAAATTGCATCTTCTTTCTGTATCAACTAGTTTCTGCTGCAGCTTTACATACTCCTGGCGGAGAAGCATCAGGTGCTTTTCCAGCTTGGCCACCTCCTCTGCAGAGGCACACAGTGTTATTACACAGCTGAAACACACACCCCTTTGGTTTACATCCCAGGGAAACTTAACCCTATAAGCACATTATACATCTAGTCTAATCACAGAACACTCCAGGAAGAGTCTCTTCTCTTTTACACCACTTGAGCATCTTGCCCCCAACATTAAACCTTTGGTATCACTGCTAGCCATAAAAATATCAGAAAAACAAAATCGTCAGAACACAGTGATAGAAACCACTCACAAATAACGTTTACATCCAGTTCAGGAATAACCATTGGAGTCCATGACTGTGGGAATTACGATGGTGCAGAGGACTAACTCTCTGGTTCTTACCCATCTTTTCAGTTTAGTTCAACTTTACGTTGTTTGATTTTACAGCTGAGGCATCAATCCCAAGTGAGCATTAGAACAGTTTGCTGAGGTACCGTATCTACCTCAGAGTATTTCACTGACCAGTTCAGAAATCCTCGCACTGTCAGTCAAGAAACTCCTTAAGAGCTAGCCAGAGTGGAAAACAGATTCTCCCCGGAATCTGTGTTTACGAGGCAACTCAAAACTCTGCTTACTACTGGCTCACACACACATTCCTCCATTGGAGGCACCTCATCGACACAGCATCAATGTGCTGTTGAGTCCACGGCAGCTGTTTCAGTTCAGGACTAGCATAGAAACAGCACCTGGGAATTGGATCTCTGACCAAGTCTTCCCATCTCACTGCAGATCCCACTTTTCCACCACGCTTAAACGGTCACTCCGCAGCACACCAAGATAAGTTAGTTCACCAAACTTAGGCTCCAGTACAAAAAAGCCCTACTTCACTGATGGAAAAAAAATCTGTATAAAATGAGAAGGGACAAGAAGGAGAAATTTGGAAACTAGTCAAGAATTTTAAGCGGGAAAGTTCCTACAAAATTACTCTCTACCTACCAGGAACTCTCTGTTCACTAATATTTCTCAAATATTTACTACATGCAAGTCACTGCTACAAACAATAAGAAACTGAGCTCTGTGGACCAGCGTTTTCTTCTTGCTTCTGCAGAAGAGTTCAAGAGCACAGCTGACCTTGGCCTTGCTCCAACACAGGTCCCCAGGGCAGAGCATCCTCCAGCTCAGCTGCAGACAAATGCCTCACACAGTCTCTCCTCCATGGATTGCGGCAGCAAGTGCCCCCTTCTAAGCCTTTTAACAACTACTGTAATGGATAAACAGAAGGTATTTACCCTATTTTACTCTTCAGTTAATACTACTTAAGCAGGCTTGGCAGTGTGCTTCCTTCAACAGCCTTTTATTTAGCTTCATCTTTCAAAAGTTAATACATAAAATCTCCTTTGGGATACTTTCCTTATACTATTGAAATACAGTCATTTCAGAGTTGTGCTGTCAATACCACACCAACCCTCACAGAGGGTCTCAAATCCTGCTTGGTCTGTGTTTCAAACAACAGATAAACGCAGTTTCAGTGTTACCAGAACTAGGATATGTCTCAATTCATAAGGAAGGTGTCACAAGCAGCACAAAGCAGCTCTACTGTTACGGCAGATAAAACAAGAGTCTGACAGGGGCCAAGAGTGATCCCAGAAAGATACTGTGAGAACCACAGCAAAAATTAGTCTATGAACACCACCACTGTTCATACAGTGTGAATTTTAGGTGCCATACAGATTGAAAGGCTAGGAATAAGCAATTGCATAGCATATATAAAGAAATATCACATCTTCCAGTCAAGCAATGGAGATGTGGAGGTGGGAATAAAGAATCAGTACCAGAAGGTAACATTTCAAATACTGTCATTTCACCAAAGTCAGCTTGCTGGCTCCGAACTACTTTGAAGTTGAAAGGACATAATGCAGAACTACCTTAAATCCTCCAAGATCAATAGCTTAAGCTTTATGCATAATCAAGCTTGTTACTGCTGCTTCCAGGGCAATCCAGGACAGTCACTACTGGCAGAGAAAGCACCTCAAAAAGATGAGGCTTTGAGAAATTTTCTTTTCAGATTGACACCGTACGCCTGCAATCTCAGTGTGACAGGTATTTGCTTACTGTAAGAACTACAAGAGTTGTAAAATAAGAGTCTCTCTGATTCTACACGAGAACATGCACACCAGTGGTGTAGGAGCTACCAGTGCACACTTGCAGACAATGTTTGATCTCTCAGCACACTTCAAGTGCACATTCCAGGCAGTCCTCAACATCCACTTAATCAACATTCACTGCAAAAGCACAAAGCCTTACGTTTCCCTGTACACTGTTCATTTAAAAAGCTAACAAGAGAGTTGCTTAAAGTAAGAATTGCTTCAAAAGTGGAACCGTCTCCATCTCAAGTAGAAGCATCAACTCTATTTAAACAGCAGCACCACGTCTCCAGGTTTACTATTTACAGTCCTCAACTTTGGAGAGAAAAAAATTGTTAAAAAAAACAACATAAAATGACCACTGTATCTTCAAGCTGGCAATCACCTTGACAGAGTGCGCATTACTGCCAGTCCACATTACGTATGACCATTCAGCTGTCTCCCAAGTGTAAAAACGTACAATTACTGCCTGCATACACATATCCAGTGAGGATCCTTGTGTCAAGACACTGCCAGGACAGCCTCACTGGATCACAGCAGCACGTCTCTAACCAAACATCAATCCACATGCATCAGTGAAGAGAGGGCCTGGGTTAAGCACAGAGGCAAACACAAAGCGACTCCTCTTCTGAGTTCAGGCACAGCATTAGCAGATGGCTGGACAACTGAAACAAAAGCAGCGTTTGCTAATAGCTTTCTGGCAGGTACCCTGGCATCTCAAACAGGCAGAAGTTTATGTTCCATATTGAAGACTTTAAAGAGGACTTCAGAAAAGGCTGCCTAATGTTTACTTACAGAAAGCACAAAAGTACTCGAGAGCAACTATGCAGCTGAATCCAGAGATAAGTAGGGAGGCAACAGGCAGCGGGGTGAGAGATAGCGTGTACCAAAAACTAGAGGGAAGGTCTAGTGGAACCCATCACGCTGCCCATCCCACTCATTAAAAGCAGCCTGAGAAGAAACACCGATAAGCTTTTGTTTACTTATCATCAAGTGGAACAGAGTGAAACACTTTAGAAAAATATATTATTTCCTTATCCCCTCAAGTCAGGTCCTTTATCCACTGCTCCACCCATCTCTCCAAGGCTGTACAAGTTACTGCTTTCCTGTTCCTCTTCAGTTTTTGCATGCTTGTGATCTTTACCCTGACAACCATCCCAAAGTCCTGCAGCAACCTTCTTGCTGCTTTAGACTCAAGCAACAATTCCAACAACAGAAATTACAAACAGCAAACTCAGCTCTTTTATAAACTGTTCAATCTATTTATAGCTAGTAATTGCAATAAATCTAATTCAGGACTTCCATGTTCTGTGAGGCAATGCTTCCATAAGAAACAGCACTCAGCTTCTGAGAGGATGACCACAGCCTGACAAGCTCCCTTTCCTTTACAAGCATTCACTTTTCAGCTGACTCTCCAATACCACCAGTTCTTTACTAGTAAAGTGCTGATGCCAGCAAGTACTTGGAAAGAACAAAATGAACCCCTCCACCCAGTTATCATAAGGGATTGAGCAGAGATCTACAACTCCCGCTTACTCCTCCTGTTCATACACGATCGTTCACAGGTCATGTCCCTTCCTTAGCCAAAAGATTAGAGAATTACTTAAGGAAGAATCTTTGAACAGCAGAGATATCTGAAACAGGACCTGCACCAACTGCAGATTCATTCCACAGAGCAGGACCCTGAACCAGAGCCTCAGATCCTTGCGGGTCTCAGTAGGAAAGTTTCACCACCTGAAGACATCTTTGATGTCTAATGCCCACCAGAACTGGATCACCAAGGCTTAAAAGCAAGCCTAAGAGGCTGGTCAGCTGAAAATGAAGCAGCAGGATTTCAGTACACAAGAAGTTTGGAGTTGCTCTAAGGATTTACTAAACCAGTTCGACTGCAGCATCCTCTCAGCTGATGCGGGCCAGATCATCAGCATCTGCTACATCCTAGTTAATGTTCTACAAGTGGTTTTAAAATTCAACCACTATCTGGGAGGTGTAATTCAACAGCCGAAAGCTGTGCTATTAAGACTGCAAGTTAGAGCCTTCATCTTCTTTGTAACTGGGGGCATTTTAGACCAATTTGCCGACTCAATTTCCTCCACGGAGGAAAAGAGGAAGCTCCTGCCTCGCAGGAAGGCACTGGACTGTAAAAAACCAAGTGGTGTGGGTTTTTTGGTTTGTTTTTTTTTTTTTTTCCAAATCCCATTAACCTCATTTAAATCGAATTTGAAACGGTGTCACCGACAACCTCCAAGAAAAACCCCAGGAGCTCTGTAGACCTCCTCGCAGCCCAAACCTGGCAAAAGGGACTCTCGGCAGCAAGGGCCCGGGGGC